GGACTTAAAATTAATCTCAGAAACTGTCACCATGTAACATAACCAAACTTTTAAAGCAACTATTTATATTTATACTTATGTTCCTTTGGAGTTAAGTTTATGATTACAATTAAAAATTCCAATTTCCAAATCATTATAAAGCATTACAAATGATGCCATGAAAACCCTGATGCTATCACTCATGAACACCTGCTATTTCCACCATGTACAGCAGGGCAGGATCCAGATGGTACATGTACTTGATTGTGCACTGAAGGCTGGAGCTTTGGCCTGGTAATATACTTCCCAAAGTCAGCCAATGGGAGCCCTAGAGGACCCAGTTCTACGAGTACACACCCACACACACGGCCACACACCCACTCCTGAGCAGAGCCGGGGACCGCGGGCACCATCGAAGAACGGCGCTCTTGACGCCCATGGACATTTCCAGGGGTGGGCAAATGGGTGTTGCTTCTGCTGCTGGCCGCCAGGGCAGTGTGGACTGAAGCTAAGTGTGGGTGTGGAGAGTCCCCAAATGTCAGCTTGACCTGCCCCTCACCAGTCTGTTTGGAGCCCCCAGCCTGCTGCTTCCTGCCTCTTCACTCTGGGCTCCACCAGGTCTCGGACAATAGCTAGAAGGGGCATTGGCCACCTGCTTCATGTCCAGGGGGCTGCCCCCCCAGGACCGACTCCTGGCCTGGGGAAGGGGGCTGCATCTCCCTTGGAGCCTGTTAATGGGATTCCTTTAGGCAGCAGATGGATTGCGAACATAGGCAGTTTCATCTACTAAAAGACGACATAAATCACACAGGGAAGGCGAGGCTGCGGGGACGCGTGCGCCCGGGAAGCCGCCCCACAGCATTAGTGGAATGAATCCATCTTTCATAAGCGCGCCGTGATCTATGGGAACAACCAATTCCTCACCACTGTCCGCGGAAAAATGACTTGGCCGATCGACTACACAAATCTGCTTTTTAAAAACGGCCTCCCATTATCTGGAGAGCCGCTCCCCCAGGCCTCCTCGGCAGCACCAATAAATCTGCCGGGAGTTTTGTTAGTTTTATATGCAGTGGGCTGTAATTATTTGGAATTGCATTATGCCTCCATCATTGTAATTACATTTAGATTATCCCTAAGTGGTGGTAATAAAAAAGAGAGATCAGTTTTAAACCAACACCATCCTGAGTATGTGTCCCAGGTGGGGCTGCAGGTTCCTGGACAGGCATGACTCATGACATGGCAGCCCCCAAACACCTAGGACTAGGGTGCTCTTCAGGGCCATGGGCACCCTAGAACTGCTAGCATTTTCCTAGAACAGCAGTCTCCCAGAATCATGGGTACCCCTCAGAGCTGTGAGTAGCCCCCTGAACCCACAGGCATCCACAACTGTGGTCAGCTCCTCAGGGCCGTGGGCACAGAATCATGACTGCTCTAGCACCACACTCATCCCGAGGCCCACAGGCCCCTGAGACTTGCAGGTGCCCACCTGTGAGGAAAAGATGTTCTCACCTGACCCCCTGAGCTGTAAACACTCCCTGCAGAGACTTCTGTATAAAGGGCACAGGTCACAGAACTCACTCCAGTCATTTCAAGACATGGTGCCACTGACGCCACCACCCCACCCATGACGGTGCCATTCACATCACGTCTGCACCCACCTCACAGCCCAATGGAGGGCCATGCCCACATCACCACCTGCTTCACAGCTGACATCATAACACCACCCACGCATCCCCTGCGTCATGTCCCCGCCCACATTACCCCGCACGTCCTGGCCCTGCCCGTATCATGTCACTACCCACAGCATGACACTGTCACGGCCAGTCAGCGTCCACGTCATGGGCATCACCAGCATCCATCAGGAGGCCAGGGGTGGTGGAGGTGAGTAGTCTCACCACTGTAAATCACCAGCATCTGAAAAGGCTCCTGACGGCTGGCAGCCAGCGTGGTGGAACACCAACACCCAGAAAGGGCATTTCACGGCAATCAGATTCCTGTGAGGTCACTCCACTTGTGGCTGTGACACTATGGCCACTCTGGACAGTGGAGGTGACCAGTTGCACCTCACAGGGTCAAGGAGTATTTGCACTCCAGACCTGCCCTGAGGTTGTGGGATCACAGAAGAGAGGCATCAACCCTGACTAGCCCACAGCAGGCTGACCTCAGCCCACTGCCCTGAGGCTGAAGGCATGAGATGGGATCCTAGGGGAAGAGAGGAGCTTTGGGGGCCAGGCATCGGAGGCAGGAAGGTAGGGGTGAGGAGCTGGGAGGCGGAGAGCCACAGGTGTGGGGGTAAGCAGACACTGGCACACCAGATCCAAAGGGCACGGCTCAGACCCAAGTCAGGAAGGGACGGACCCTGACCCCGGCTCTGGCCCTGCCTGCCTCTAGTCCAGTCTCACTGTCCTCACAGGACTCAAGAACCCCAGTGGTAGGTCAATTCCCACCAGCTCTTACCCCTGAAGGACTGACCAGGTTGCGTCTGACTAGCAAGATCGCAGTGCTCTGCCAAGTCCTCTGCCTCTGGTCTGTAAGCCCCCCTTCTCACCGAGCCCCCTCCTTACCCAGTCCCCTCCTCACTGAGCCTCCTTTACTGAGCCCCCTCTTCACTGGGAACCTCCTGTGCCCCCATACCACTGAACTCCCTGCTCACTGAACTCCCCCTCGAGACCTCTCTTCATTCAGACCCCTCCCTCACTGAGCATACACCAACCTTCGCTGGGTGGTACTCATGGGAACCATCCTCCAGCCTGGATGTTGCAGCCTACAGCCCAAGCCCACCGTCCTATCCACCACAGAAGGCACAAGGTGCACTAAAGATTGAAAAGAAGAGAGTGGCACCTGGAAGAGCCACAGTGTTAGGGACCTGATATAGCCCAGAGGACAGTTGCTCCTGTCTCTGCCTCCACAGGTCACCTAGGACAACTACTGCTGGTCCACACAGCCCCAGGGCCCTGAACGGCACAAGCTGTTGTCAGGAGAGGTCCCCAGGGTCCTAATTGGCACAGGCTGGTGTCAGGAGAGGTCCTCAGGGCCCTGGACCATGCAGGCTGGGTATTAGGAGAGGTCCCCTGGACCCTGGACAGTGCCGGCTGGGTGAGAGGGAGAGGTTTCCCTGGACCCTGGACGGCATAGGCTGGATGTCAGGGAGAAGTCCCCTGGACCCTGGACGGTGCAGGCTAGTGTCAGGGCGAGTGTGGTGCAGAGAAGGTTACAGACTATCAGGACCTCTTTCTGCAGAGGGGATCTGACTCCAAATGACACGCTTTGGTGGAACATTTGGAAAGAAGTAGGGAGCCTTTGACCTCCACGCGCCACCTCCCAGGCACACACATCTGCATCTGTTCTTGTGCCATTAAGTCGACGACAACTCAGCAACCTTACAAACAACAGCCTGGAACCGAGCTTGTCCTGTACTTTCTCCCGATCTGCAACATTATCCCAGTCACTGTGTCAATCCACCTTGTCGTCACCTCGGGTGGGAGGCTGTGGTCACTGCTGACCTCTTACAATCCTCACAGACAGCTTGTCTGGACCAGGACTGAGTCCAGGTGGCTTGGAAATGAAGGAGACTGCAGAGGAAGGTGCCACGCAGGGGGTCTGACGAGGACACCATACAAGCGTGTGGGAACCAGCTCACGTCATACAGGCGGCCCTGGTGACGGTGCTGCTGGAACTTCCTCACTCCACACAGATGACCTGGGCGGTGGCACCGCCGGGACCACCTATCACCACCACACAGCCGGCTCTGGTAACGGCACTGTGGGATTCACCCCAAGACAGATTCAGCCTGCACGATGCTGCTATGGGATCCCCTCACCACACACGGATCACCACGGTGACACTACTGTGGGGACCACCTCACACCACGTGGTGGGATGCACAGTGGCGTTCTGGAACTCTCTGACACATCATCTGACTCGGCAATGGCACAGTGCACAGGTAGATGGAGACGGACACAGGTGGATGGAGGGCTAAGACTTCCTGCTGCACCCCTGTGCTCTTGTGGGCTTATAGCAGAGGAGACAGTGGCACAAAATGAGATGTAGGGCCAAGCCGCCGAGCCTGGCCCAGCCGCTGACAAGTGTCCTTGGTTCAGGGAACAACAGACAAGGCTGAGCTCTGAGGTGGCAGGAACACCATCCTTCACAGAGCTGCCACGGTCCCTTCACTAGAGGCTCAGGTCATAAAGCAAGTTAATAAAGTTGTGGCCTTGCTGGAAATCAGCTCCAAGTGCAGGCATGTCTGGCCTCGCCGCAGCGCGCCCTCAGAAGATCGGTGGGGCCATCTTTCTTGTGGCTGAGAGGATATGAGCCCCCGGTGTGCGTGCCTGTATCCTGGTGCGGCTGAAATGCGCCCCAAGTACAAATGACTCGCAGGCATCAACTGGCACTTCTTCAGTGTCCCCACCAGAGAAAGCTTTCAATCAGAGTATCAAAGCTGATGATTTCACAGTTGATGACGGGCCAGGGGAGTGACTCGGGGTGGGCATGTTAAACATAAAGAAGGCAGAGGATACAAACCCTCATGATGCTCATGGAAAATATGAGAATGAAAAACTGCACAGCATGACTGCTAAGTGAAGCAACACCTCTCCCCCTCCCACCCCGCCCCGCCGCCCCCAGCATGGGACTGCAAATACCAGCCCTTAGTCTTTCCCTCTGACCTCTGACCTCCACCTGCCCATGTAGAGTTACACTGGGAGAGGGCAACAGGGCCCTAGAGGCCTGGGCAGAAAAGGGTAGGGACACTAGTGTACTGGAAAAGACCTTCCTGTTCATCCTGGAGACGGCTCTTAAAATGAAGACTGGACATTGTACTAAGTGCTCTAATACCAGAGGCCTCATCTGTGACAACTCTTGTCAACCTCTCAGGCTGAGATGCTCCCCGGAAGACTAACCACGCTGAGAAGGCGGTGGCCGGGCTGTGGCAGTGGACGGTCAAGTGTGGCACCGAGTCTCACTGAGCTGACTTGTTTCAGACCCAGGCTTCAGGCTACCCCCCTTGGGTCCCACACCCACCTCTGGGAAGTAGTCCTGGGGGAACTTCTCCTTCTCCAGCATGGGTGTGCTCTCCAGTGTGTCTGAGTAGATCTCCTTGCCCGTGACCTTCTTATACTTCTTGGCTGGTGAAGAGGGAAGAGACTGCGTGAACGACGTGCTCGGCACACCACCCTCTCCCAGCGACCCAGCGGTGGCACTCCACTTCAAGACAGCACAGAGCTCGAGCCAGAACGGGGTTCACTGGAATGATCCTTCCAGCCAGGAATGCACTGAGGTGGAGGGGGGATCACACTCACTTTCACCTAACATGAACTGATTTCCCAACACCCCCCACCCAGCCATGCCAGCAGCCACATGCACATTCCCAGAGACGGGCTTCCCAGGAGCTAGAGGAGGGGAAAGGCTGGTGTGGGGCATCTGAGCAACCTCCACACCTACTCTGGAGCCCCTACTCCTGACGCTGCTACCAGTGGGTGCCCCTGCTGGGTGGGCAGAGCCCACGTCTCAGCATCCTTCAGCATCTCTGCAGTCTCCCAGGAGACAATGCAAGGATCGAGTCCTTGGGCTCCAGCCAGGGCTAGATGAACGACAGCAAGGTAACCCTGGTCCCACCAGCAGTGGTTAACTGCCCAGTCCTCCAGCTCACAGCCAGCAGCAGAGCTGGCTCCAGGCCAGGAGCCTTGTGGGGGTCACAGCCTGTGTCTGTGGAAGGACACGTCGCAGGTTTTGTGCCAGCTGCATGCATGTGCATCTCTAGGGGACTGACTGATACTGCTGAAAGGACAACCCAGCAGGACAAAGCACCCGGGCAGGTGGGCTCCTCCCAGCAGAGCCACCCCTCGATGTTCTGGAAGGATCATGGGCCCAGGAGCCCAGGCGGGTGCAGCACGGAGGAGAGAAAGCACGGGACTTCAGTCTAGACACTGCTGAGGGTGTGAGCCCCCAACATTTGGGCCTTGCTGGCAGGAGACACTGCAGATGGAAGCCATCCCCAAATACACAACCAGGGGCTTACAGGCCCCAAGTCTCCTCTGACCTCGCTTCTCCCCTAACAGGACAGTGTGCCAGGGCTGGTCCTGGGGCTTTGGCCCCTCTTCCCTGCCTCCCAAGGCCTTGTGTGAGGGGTCCTAAGGTCGAGGAGTGGGCAAAGTTCAGTCTGATAAAAGGAACAGGGGTCCATGTAACTTGGTGGCTGGATATCAAGTAGGAGTGCCTTCCTTTTCATGGTACACATCCTGTAACCACTATCCTACTGCATGATTAAGGATCACTGTCAGCTCCTACCAGAAGGGGCAGGGTGCAGAACAAAGTCCCCTCCTGTCCTGAGCCTCACACAACGCCCCTCACTGATAAGGCAGGCTAACCATCTACAACTTGGACACGTATATTAAAAAAAAAAAAGGCAAGGCTTGGCCAAAGGGTCCTGGGGGCAGACTGTCCACACTGAATCACCATCTGCTGTAGGCTCCTCTCCAGCATGGCAGCACCCACAAACTGAAGCTCCTCAGGCTGGCATCTGGCTCACCCCTGCTCCCTCTATCCTGCCAGCTGTATCCTGCCACTGTTGGAGGTCAGGCTTCGCCCGATGACAGCTATTGCTGTTGAGGTTAGGACATCCTGATGATGTCCTCATGATCCCCAGTCAGGGACAGGGATACAGAATTCTCCAGCCTCATTTTCCCCTTAAGGTTTACTAGTCTCTTTGTTGCATGTTTTGATGTTCTGTGGTTAAGAGCATATACATTTAAGATTGTTGTCTTCTTGGAAAATTGATCCTCTTAACATCACCCTAAATTCTCCTTTACCTGGAATTAATGTGGTTACCCAGCTTTTGTAACACTTAGTGTTTGCACTGTGTATCTCTTCTCTCTTTACTTATATCCATCAGCATCTTTATATTTCAAATGAGTTTCTTAGATACAATATACTGTTGGTTCCTTGTTTCACTTTGATAGTCTTTAATTGCTATATTCAAGCTATTCACAATTAAATTACCAGTATCCCTGGATTAATTTCAACCATTCCTAATTAATCACCAATATAACTACTATCTATCCTAATTGTTAACGAGAGAGGTCTGGTGTCACTGTTCGTGCTGTGACATGCTGCTAACCAAAGGCACTGTCTCCAACAGTTCAAATCTACCAGCATCTTTCAGGGAGAAAGGCGAGCAGTGGCCTCCCATTACGATGTGTCGCCTTGGGAAGCTGATGGGTGGTTGCTATGAGCTGCTGTGTGAGCTCTTATCAACGGCACTGTTTTCTATTCATTTTCCACATTATTTACTCTCACTCTTTTCCACCTTTTGTAATTTCAAGGAAGCCTTTTCTAGAATTCCGTTTTCCTCCTTTTCACATACTAATTATATAGCTTTTCAAAGAAAATCAGAGGTCGCTCTCAAGCTGCAACACACATTTCTAACTAATCTAAGTCCATTTTCAACTCACACTATGACTCAACGGGGAACACAGGAGTTCCAACCCCCTTCACCTCCCTGATAACCGCTCTCACTGCACCGACCCCTGAGTGTGCACTGCCGCTGCTGTGCAGCTGAGAAGAGGGGGAAGGAACGCTTTTCTTTTACATGTGTCTCTTCCTCAACTAGCCTTCCTTTCCGTAGATCTGTTTCTGAACGATCACCTCCCTGCTCTCTAAAGAACTTCTGTTCCTATTCTCCCCATGCTGGGCACCTGGACTTGGTCTGGATTCACAGCTGCCCTATGTACACGCCCTTAGCTCTCACAGTGACAGCTCTGCTCTGGACACCCTGGGAGGTCCTGCCATAGATTTACCCAGTGCAATATTTCATTAGATTAACCGACTGAGGTTTCCACAAGTGTTGGTTGTGGGTGCAAGTAAAAGGAAAGTCTGGAAACTTTGCTCTACTCTCCATTTACCATGTTATGGACCCAGCTGTGAGGATTTCTGTTGTCTTTATGTTGAAGTATAACTCTGATTGAAGGCTGTGGTTTCTTCACTTTAAGCAAGCAAGGATGTCTCACAGCATATCACAGGTTTTTACTCAATCTTCCTCCAATCCACATTCTGCTTCATACAGTTCAGCTTCTCAAGTTATTTGCTCATATACTGAATCAGTATGGTGGAAGAATCCCACTCTGACACACACCTTTTCTGGCTGTAAGCTATGTGGTATCTTTCTACTCTATTCAAACTACTTCTTGATCTATGTACAAGCTCTGTGTGAGTACAATTAAGTGTATGGAGTTTCCATTTTTAACAATGTTATCCGTAATTTGTTAGTCAAATGCATAGTTAATAGATACAGGTAAATAATCTTTATCACAGCCACGATCCACCTGATGTCAGCAATTATACTCCTCATTCTACACACTCTTCTGAATCTTGCTTGAATTTCTGGCAGTTCCTTATAGATGCCCTGCAACAGTTGCATTTGAAAAATTTTCAACAATACTTTACTTGCATGTAATATTAATTATATTGTTCAATAATGTCCATATTCTGTTAGATCATCTGTCTTTGGAATGGGCACAAATACCCATCTCATCCCGTTAGTTGGCCAGAGAGCTGTCTTCCAAATTTCTCGGCATCAACAGCATTTCCAGCATCCCATCCACTTGCTGAAAGAGCCCAGTTGGTATTCCGTCCACTTCTGGGTTCTCCTTCACTAATGCTTTCTGTGCACCCTGGAGTTCTTCTTTCAGGACCGTTGCCACTTGATCATATGCTACCTCCTGAACCCTGACAGACTCTCTCGTGCAGTGACTGTCTTCGTCCCACCTCGACTTGATGATTCCTGGATGTCTTCTCGCTTGTACAGATTTTGGAAGAAAGTCTGATGTAATTCTTATCTTTGTTCCTCTCCAGGTAAGGTGTTTTTCCTCAGTGGCTTAGTTTAAGAATGTCTCTGTTTTTGCATGTATCCTACTTGGTGTTCTCTAAACGACGTAGCTCTGTGGGGTTTGTGCTTGTCATGATTTTGGGGAAATTCTCAGGCATTATTACTAGTTTCTTCTGATGCTTTCTCTCCTCCCTGTCTGGTACTCCAGCTGCATGTTACATTACACATCTTCTAAACCATCCCACAGTTCTTATATCTTATATCCTCTCCCACTTATTTATTTTCATTGTTTCTCCCTCTGTTTTCATTTCAATTGTGGACGTTTCCTTTGACATACCTTCAAGTCCACAGACTCTTTCCAGGCCATTTTTAATTCACTAATGAGCCCATTAAAGGTATTCTTCATTTCTGTCAGTTGCTTTTTATTTTTTAGTATTTACTTTCGAGTTTTAGAATTTCTAACTCTTTGCTTTTGAAATATTTATTCTTATATGTTTTCTCATTTTCTATTAGAATCTTTTACATATAATCACGTTGTTGTTAAATGCTGTTGCGCTGACTATGCCTAACAGTGATTCTATGAGCAGTTGATCTATCCTGTGCCATCCTCATGTTCTCTGGCATGCTTGAGCCCACTGTTACAGCCATTGTGTCAATCCATGCCATTGAGGGTCTTCCCTTCCTTTGATGACCCTCCACCTTTCCAAGAATGAAGCCCTTTGCCAAGGACTTGTCCCTCCTAACAACATGTCCGAAGCGGGTGAGAGGAAGTCTCACTATCTTTGCCTGGAGCACCGTGGTCACATCTTTTCTAAGACATATAAATTTGTCCTTTTGGCAGTCCATGGAGTGTTCAGTACTCTTTTTCAGCACGACAACTCAGAGGCATATATCCTTATTCTGTCATCTTTATTCACTGTTCAACTTCCAGACACATAGCAAGTGACTGGAAAAAAAAACCCCAAAAACCCACAAAACACCCCATGGTTTAAATTAGGTGCACCTTAGTCTTCACATTGGCATCTTTGCTCTTCAGCACTTTGAAGGATCATGACTGTAGATTTTCCTAGTGCAATATATCTTTTGATTTCTTGGCTGGTGTCAAGGGCGTTGACTGTGGAACCCAGTAAGATGAAGTCACTGACAATTTCTATCTCTTCTCCATCTACCTTGATGCTGCCTATCTGCCTCATAATGAAGACTTGTCTTCTTGATGTTAAGACATAACCCACAGTGAAGGCTGCGGTGTTTGATCCCCCGCAGTAAATATTTCAAGTCCTCCTCATTTTCGGCAAGCAAGGTTGTGTCATCAGCATAACTCAGGTTGTTGAGGAGTCTTCTTCCAACCTTAACACCACATTCCTCCTCATACAGTCCAGTCTCTTGATCTGTTCTGCATACAGACAGAACAGGTACGGAGAAAGAACACAGCCCTGATGCATATTTTTCCTGATTTGAAACTACCCAGTGTTTCCTCATTCTGTTTATACCACAGCTTCTAGGTCTAAGTAGAGGCTTTACACGAGGACAATTAAATGTTATGATTCCCATTCTTCTGAATGACAGCCATAATTTATTATGATCCAAACAGCCAAATGCCTTTGCATAGTCAATAAATCACAAACAGATAATTCTTCTGGTGTTTTCTGCCTTCAGTCAAGATCCTCCTGACATGAGCAATGATATCCCTAGGCTAAAGCTTCTTCTGAATTCACTGTGAATTTCTGGAAGTTTTCTATCAAGGGGCTCTCTTCTAGTCATTTCTGGATAATCCTTACATGGGAAATTAATGATATTACTCAGTAATTCCCCCATTCTGTTGGGTTACCTTGTCTGGAAACGGGCACAGATAGGGATCGCTTCCTGGTTGACCAGGTAGCTGTCCCTCAAATTACCTGGGGCAGCCTGGGGAGTGCATCTGGGCTACATCTGTTTCTTTAAGTATGTCAGTTGGTATCCCACCATTGTTTCTGAGTCAGGTATGATTCACAGTGAGCCTATGAGCAAGGATTAACCCTGTGCTGTGCTGTGCTGTGCCATCCTCACCATCCCTGAACCCACTGCTGCAGTCACTGTGTCAGTCTACCTGGCTGCGGGTCTTCCTCTCCTTTGCAGTCCCTCAACCTTGCCAAGCATGACGTCCCTCTCCAAGGAATAAGCTCTCCTAGCCACCTGCCCAAAGGATGTGACATGGAACTTGGCCATCCTTGCCTTCAAGGAGCATTCTGGCTGCACTTTTCAGAAAACATAGCTGTTCATTCGGCCGTCCCTGGGACACTCAGTACTCTGCTCCAACACCACAGCTCAAACACATTCAGGAAATTAAGTCTTCTGTCAGCCTGATTAACTGTCCAGCTCTCAGATGCATAGCCAGTGATTGAAAAGGCCCTGGCCTGAATCAGGCACACCTTAGTCTTCAAACTGACATCATTGTTCCTTAGTAATTTGGAGAGGACCCTGACTGCAGATTTTCTCAGTACAATCCCATCATAATTATTCTCAAATTACTGGCCTAGTAATCCTACTAAATTCTGTATCACACCTGAAATCTAACTCTGACACTTATCTTGGTGGTTTTTTTTTTGTTTTGGTTGTTTTTGTGGTTTTTTTTTTTAGAATGTTTTGTTAAAACCTGGACATGAGGTATCAGGTAATAGGAACTAAAGTGAGTGGTGTAGGTTTCAGTTAATCTGGCTTGGAACTGGGTTACTATTTATGTCTCTTGTACTACCTTCAGGTGCCAAAGGCCCTAAGCTCCACCACACTCCCACTTAAACCTCTCCTGCATACAAGCTTCCCCAGGTACTCCCCTCAGCTGTGATTCCTTTATGAGAAATGAACCTGCAGTGGGGAGACTGCGGGACAGGCAAGCACTGTCCGAGCCTCAGTCAGCTCTCAGCCTTGCTGTCTCCGTGCCTCTCGGCTGTGTCTGCCATCACTTTGGCTGGCTAGCAGAAGGGGTAGAGCTGGGCATTTCCTTTCCTCACACCAGTCGGGCTCTGGTAAAAATTGTTTCCTTCAGGGCACTGTTTCAAAATTAGGGTTACGCTGCCGTCGTCTCTGCATGAAGGGTGTTTCCCCTGACTGACCTTCACTGTACAAGGCTGTCAAGCTTTTGGAGGCAATACCCAAATGCAAAGCCCCCAGAGTTTTCTCTCAAGCTGGCCCATGCTCAGTCTTGAGCCTAGTTAGGCTGGGGTTGTTGGAGGGCTTCTACGATTTTCTCTGTACTCTGGCCTTGAAGGAGGTGGTCTGTCTTGCTCTGTGCCCCAACTCTGCAGTTTAAGAAGAGCTGAGGATTTTCAGTTGTTTAGGATTTACAGACCAGACTGGAGACCAAGTCTCCTCCTCAATCCTTTCTCTGCACTCTCTGGGACCCCATCTTCTCTGCACTCTCTGGGACCCCTCTTTTCCCTGCTCTTTCTAGTACCCCACTTTCTCTGCACATTCTGGCACTCCCTTATCTCTGCTCCTTCTAGTATCCCCTTTTTCTCTGCAATTTTTGTTATTCAATTCAGTTATTACCGTTAAAAAGTTTATTGATTCACAAATTCAGCAAAAGCTACACAAAATATCACTTTTGATGTAAGTTACAGCTACAAGTGAGCATGCCCCAGGCATGCAACGCTGGCTTCTGGCACACCCATGAATGGGACACTCACAGATACTGTTACTGGGCTGTCACCATCCACATTCACAATACAGAGCCCTCCAAGGCGCCAGGGGAAGTTTCCCTTGAGGCAAGGCCCCACGCGCCTACCCTGCAGTTTTAAATAAGCACCAGGCCAGCTATGGACCCTACATTAAACAAGCCTTAAACACACATGACCCTGGGGACATTATGCTGAGTGAAATATTTCAGTCACAAAAGGACAAACACTGCATAGTGCCACTGTTGTAAAATGGGACTGACAAAAACAAAACAAAACAAACAAACAAACAAAAACCGGGACTGACATCGGGGTTGGGGGCAGACTGAGAAAGATGGGATAAATTATGTATACTGCATTGAAACAGATGAGGGAGAGAGCTGTTTAAAAGGGATATATGATTGGGTATTAATGTCATGACAGGAGTCCAGAATGAAGGTTGCATAGTGGAGTGAACTTAGGGGGAGGGATTTTATAACAATGAAAGAATTTTCCTTTTCCTTTCCAAGAGTGAACTGGCGGGGATGGGGGCGGGGTAGGTTGGGCAGAGAGAAAAGTGGAACAATGAATGAATGGAAATCCAGAGTCTCTGTAAAGTTTCATTAAAATGAATTAACCCCTCCAAACCCCCCCATGCATGCACAGGGCTCCTTTAGGAGGAGGACCTGCTCCCTGGCTCCACCATGCTTGCCCGCGGATTGCACAGGCTCGGCCTGGCTGCCCCAGTGCGGCCTGGGTGTCAAAGCCCTTCTCACTCCTACTTGCTGATGGCTCTCACAAGCTAACATCTGCTGTCTCCCCTCTGCCTTCTACCATGTCCTGCTGGACCGTCCTGCAAAGTCCTCCGAGAAGGTGTTTCGATGCAGCCAGGGGGTCATTTTGCTGGCTAGAATCCTGCTCTCAATACTGATGAAATTGCCACTCAAGCAATTTAGAGAAGACTGCTTTTCAATTTCTTAAGAGGTGATCTGTCTCCCAAGTGAGCAAAAATAATGAATCTGAACAAACTGACATAATTAGTTGGTGTTCGCAGTTATTATAACTGTAGTGACATGTCAAATTAATGTGATCCGGCTCAACGGTTTAAATGGAGTTCAGGGCACTTCAGGTACAACACAGAAAGACAACATCGAGCAGAAGGGAAGCCCTACAAATCCCATTAGACCGAGTGACACACACTGGAGCATCTCAAATCTGGGGGCAAACCCAACGACCCCAAAGACAATGATGGAAGACTCAGAGTGCCATCCCCAGAGCGGGCTTTTAGAACACATGGGGTCCTGAACTCAGAACTCGGGATCCTATCCCCTGGGCTTGGAGTGCTGTCCCCAGGGAGGGCTTCTGGAACACACAGACAGGGTTCTGTCCTCATAACTCAGGATCCCCAGGGCTCAGGGTGCTGTCCTCAGAAGTCAGGATCCTGTCCCCAGGGTTCAGGGCTCAGGCCCCGTCCCCAGGGAGGGCCTGGGGGAATGTACGGGCTCCCATCCCCAGAGCTCGGGTCCCAGGCCTGGGGAGGGCATCAGGCCCAGTCTTTCCCGGCTGCCACACGCTGAGCTTTTCTTTCTGAGTTACACACATCAGCCAGACTGCTTGCTTCTCCCACACTGGACAGGGACAAAGGCAGGGACACAGGCACAAACCCATCCTGAGGGGCACCCAGTCACTTGCCACGTCTGCAGGAATGGCGCAGGTGGGTCAGCACAGGGGAGCACAGAAAGGGCAGACTCCATCTGTTGCCAGACAGGTGCAGAGGTCACACTGGCTGTCCCAGGGTCAGGGCAGAAGGGACTGGAAGAAGCTGGACCACAAGGGTGAGCATCTTCTGAGCCAGGGGGCCTCGGAGACAGCAGAAGGCAATGCTGACTCTTACCTTTGAAGTCAAACTGGTGGATGTTTTTTAAAGACTCATGGAGAAAGTAGAAGCTCCCAAGGGCCTGTAGGACAGAGAGAGAAGCCAGTGAGAACACAGTCCTGTACCACACACGCTGTGTGGATGTGCCTTCAAAATACAGCAAAAGTTTAACGCTCAGCAAATTAATCATCGTCACTGAGACACATGACGTTAAGTGCAAATAACCCAATAATATCCAGATGCCATCAAGCTTAAACACAAGAAACAAACCACGAGGTCAGCATTTCCTTTAACATCTAGGATAGAAACCATCTGCCACAGGATGCATGGCCTGGGAGGGCCTCTGGGGAAGTGCCCACGAGCTCCTGCAGGGAACTGGGAGAGCGCTGCTGCTCCTCTCGCTCCACAGCCCCAGGGCTCCCAGACCTTCTCCTGCCAAGCCCCCAGCAGCCCCAAATGAGCCATCTGTTCAATACTAGCTCCACCACTCCTAGGGCCCCTGTCCAGCTCAGCATTTCCAACTCTGTCCAGTCCTCCCTGACTTGTCAATGCCCCCTTCTCTGCCCAGCACCTCCAGGTGAGCAACTCTGGACAGCGAACATGATAGGGACCAGCCACCATGGGGAGGGAGGGGGAGAGGGGTGGGGAAGGGAGACTGAGAGCCAAGCGAGCCACTAGGTGAGCAGGCACCAGAGTATGGGGGTTCTGTGGGCGCGGGGGCTCTGTGGGTATGGAGGCTCTGCTCTCTTGCGATCAGGCTGCATCCTGTAGACAGCTCTGTGGACAGGGCACCTGCACTCCTCAGAGACAGTCCTGTGCACCTAGCCCTGCTCTTGGGCTCAGCCTTCTGCCTTCTCAGTCCCAAGTGCATATGCTAGAACCCCCAAGAGCCACACGTGTACCCCTACCAGCGCCTGTCTGACCAGTGTCTGCAGCCACATCGTGGCGCAGGAGACATGGGTGTCACACCCCTGCAGAATCCAGGGGCCAAAGTGTGAGAGTGGACCCCACACAGGGCTTCCACTGCCACCCCCCACCCCCCACCTCCTTCACTGCTCCAGGAAATAAAGCACCTGGAAAAATTTAGGTAAAGAGACCCTGTCGTTGCAAATCTTCCAGATGTGATGCCACAAGAAAGCCAAGAAACACAGGACCTTGACGTTCACAAAGAGTAAAGGTCAAATAAGCTTCCGATGCAGGCAGACACCGCGACTCAGTCAGGAAGTCCACAATGAGGTCTAATGACTATGTAAAGTCAAAGTTCAACCCAACTTTTCACCACTTAACCTGCCCCATCAACACAGCTCAGGTGGCCATCTATCAAACGGCTGAGGGTATCAGACATGCGGCAGCCAGCCACACGTACACAAGTCGGTGGTTTCTCTGACCCCCTACCCGGCCACCATGTGGGTCGGCTGCGCGCTCATCACACAGCAAGATACTGGCGCCCTGCTGGATTCTCTGGAAACAATGACATCTTCTACATATTTATGAAGCTAGTGGTGGAAGTGCACGAGATTTCCCATTGGCAGTGGTCACCAGCTACTGCTCACCTCAGCTGGCAAAGCGCTGGCACCCAAGGCTGCTCCTGTTGGGCAGAGACTCGCTGGCCAGTACCCAGCCGAGGAACAGGACCTCAGGAGGCTGGGCAGGAGCTGGAGCCGGCGGGCAGTGAAGCAGCACTGCATGTGTGGCTGATGGACCCCAGGGCGACCACAACCGGGCAGGGGGCTGTGTCTACAGATGTGGTCAGATATTGCCACAGGTTCATGTCCAGTGCTGGAGACTGCCCATCCACTGCTGTACGCAGGGTCTGCTCAGCCCCTTGCCATCCTCCGTGCTGCACAGGGGTGAGCCCGGCCCCCTGCCGCCCTCAATGGGTCAGCCTGGCCCCCGGGGCCCCCTGAGTGTGTCCAGGCTATGACCTAACAAGCCCTCTTCATAGATCTTGGCTTCTCAGCAGCTACAAGTACACCTGATCTTTTTGCATTCTTCAAATACCTTCTTCTCTCAAAAACAAGAAGCTGCCCCTGCCCCCCTCGATCCTGCTTGAGCCATCGTACCCCATGCATGCCCCTCGTGCCCTCCTGCTCACAAACTCCCTAGGAAGGTGGGCATGGGCTGGTTGTCCTCCTCTGGGAGGCCTTCCTGACTGCTCTGAGCAGTGTGGTTTCAGTAGAGGGGCCCCCACCTGCCTGCTGTGCTCTTTACGACACTGTGGTCATGGCACTGCAGCCTCCAGCCCATCACATGCCTTCTGCAATAGAGCAAGCATGGGAGTCACGGGAGCACAGAAGGCCTGAGCGTGTAAGCACAGGAGC